GCCTGGCATGGTCCACTCTGTGAATCCAAAGCTCCCTGTGACGGCTGGTGCATCTCACCTCTATTACATTGCCTCCATAACCGGCTTCTTCATTCGTAAGTTAACACTTCTCTACCTTCCCATGAGAAGTCATGAGGATATCTGACTTACTGACCCCATCTTCCAGCATTTACCGTCTCCATAGCGCTTGACTACCTCGTACCCGTCAAGGTGCAGAAGGATTTCATCCAGTCCGTGTCTGTACGGGAAGCCCAGGACATCGCCAGCGAGATGGCCGAGTCAAACGAGAAGTCTGCTGAGGGTGCAGCGCGTCTGTCTCCAGACCGGGAGAGCAGTGTTGAGCACAAGATCCCAGAGGCCAATTCACACTCTGTCTAATAATATGATCCCTTTATATCGAGGATCAACTTTTGCAGCGATTGTTCAGAGCATATATGTTTTCCTTTTACTCCTTTTTTAAGCGACTATAACTCGTCATTTAATGAGCGGTATATTCGCTAGAATTGACTTTCGAAAGACTCAGCGAGCCTTCCTCTATAACTACTCTATATTAATGCACCCCATGATTCCAACATATATCCAACAGTTCAAACAGTCTTACATTTTTACGTATATCAACCAATAGATACCAATCTTTCACTTTGCCTGTCAATTGTTACCATTAATCCCATTGCTGATTTATTTTAACTTTCCGTTTCTCTTCTTGGATATTTCTTCATTAGATAAAAAGTAGGCATGGGTGAAGCAAAACATATAACTACAGCACTCTTTGTATAAAGACGCCGCATTTGAGTATGCTAGCAAGGAGGGTCAGCGTCTGGTATTCTGTCTAGGATCCATACAGGATATTCCCAGTATTGTCAGACTTGTCACCTGTTTTCTCTCCATTCGTCCGAAGACTCGAAGGATGTGGTTGGCGGCATCAAATGTCTATTTGTGTTATGTAATCATCACCCGCAGAGCCGCCTTTTAGCTTATTTCTTTCGTTTTACGGCTTGACCGTCGTTCATCGTCTTCTGGCCGGGGCAGGATTATAATGATCGATAGATAAGTCGGTCTGTGTCTGTACGGCAGGACGTTTGTCTGTCTAGCTGTACAAGATGGCAGCCGTGCCTTTTCGCCCGTTGGAGTATCTGGAGGGCCGTCCAGGCACCACATTCCTCAAGCTCTACCAGCAGCCCTCGACAGCTCTCGCAATATTTCGAAGGATGCTCCCACACCTCGGTATGGCTCAGTTCAGGGGATTTTGGTGATGTTTACTAACAGTATTGCTAGCAAAATGCTTTGTTATGGCACTGCTATACCTTAAAGACCCTCTTCCAGCAACTGAGCTGGAGCTATGGGTGAGATCGGACAGTAGACGGTATATACGAAACTTGCATCCAGAGAATGAACCGAGACTCCTGCTAACGATGGTTATCGCAATAGTGAAAGAGATAACTCGCTTTCAATACTTGGCCGTCTACATATCCTATCGAGCACAACGACCTCGAACCATGTTCGTGCCTATATGGTCACCGAACCGTTTTCCACTTCTTTGCGGCAAGCTCTCATGGGAGAAGACCAACAGGGCTCGTTTGGAGTTATATCAGTGACTCCCGACAAGTATCCGGTCTCCGTCGCGGATTTAGACGAATATGCAAGACAGCAATGGGAGGCGGTGCTTGGGTACATGGTTGGGATGAGCTCGTTGAGCGGAGGACGGGAAACCATAACTCTCAGCAAAGGGGTGAAGCAGCTTCTTCAGGCCTGCCATCTGGTGGAAGTCCGAGATCGGAGAGTTGAAATTACGAAAGAAGGATTTGCCTTTGTTCTACAAGACGTCAATACCCAGGTCTGGCATATACTCATCCTCTATGTCGAGAACGCAGAAGCTATAGGCATGGAAAGCGTTGAGGTTCTCTCGTTCATTTTCTTGCTTAGTAGCCTTGAGCTCGGCCAGTCTTATGAGAAAAAGGACCTCACTCCCACACAGCTTCGAACACTTGCCGATCTCACTGATTTTGGCATCGTCTACCAACATACGCCTGCTTCTGGGTCCACCCGATTCTACCCTACCCGGCTGGCTACTACACTTACGTCTGACTCTTTAGCTATGTCAGGCCCAATATCAGGAGAACCTGCGGTCCCGACCACAACTGCAGGTACTACGACGTCCGGTGATGCAGGCACCGGGTTCATCATTGTTGAAACAAACTACCGTTTATACGCATACACATCATCCCCTCTACAGATATCTCTCATATCCCTCTTTACCACTCTAAAATTCCGATTTCCGAATCTTATTACCGGCAAAATAACCCGTCAATCCGTCCGCCGAGCCATCGAAATGGGTATCACGGCTGATCAGATTATATCATATCTCACCACTCATGCCCATCCACAGATGCGCAAGACGAAAAAATCTACGTCAAACGTTTCTTCTTCGGTCTTGCCACCTACTGTTGTCGACCAAATACGGCTTTGGCAGCTGGAACGAGATCGAATCAAAGCAACATCAGGGTTTCTTTTCAAGGAATTCGACACCTTTGCGGAATTCGAAGCTCCTTGCAAGTATGCTGAAGAAATCGGTGTCTTGGTTTGGAAATCTGATTCAAGGAGGATGTTTTTTGTTACCAGACATGAACAGGTTGCTGCGTTCCTACGTAGCAGAGCGGCGTCAAGGGGTTAAAATGAACGGTTATTAAAAGCTAGCATGGCTTGCTTCTCATGATACCTTTTTTAATGGAGAAAACTTGGGTAAGCATTTGCTTTACACGGCGCACGATTGGGTGGAAGACACTGATGTACAACGTATTATTTGAATAACTACCTCGAGCAGGGATAACTAAGTCACGTCCCTTTTAACAATCCTCCCTTCTTTCCTCCCCCCCCCTTCTTTTTTTCTTTTTTGCCTTTTCATACTTTTTTCTCTCTTTGTTATCATTGTTTATTCCTCGCAAATCATCAATTCGTCACAATATCTTCGAACGTTCCAGGGGGGGTAAAATATGAGCCAGGACTTTGAATTCACAAAGCATCAGATGCGGCACCGCTTGGATGTGGTAGCTACGTTTTCGTGTGTTTGGGAAGAGACCTAGCCGAAGCTCTTTCTGACAGAGCGAAGAATATCCATGACACCGGCTTCGCCCTTTCCACCAGTCTTTTCGGACTTTGGGCAGCCCTTCTCAATCTCTGTGGCAAAACGCTGGGAGAATTTGCGCCCGAAACGTCTAGAGTAGGCTTCTTTGAACTCGGCCAAGCTGGCACTCGCTTCAGAGGTGAGACAGGCTCTCTCCAAGACCATGAAGGCGCGCTTGATATGGTAATCTTCCAGGTTGACGGACATGGAAGCTTTCCCTTCGAGAGTGTTGCCTGGGATCCCATACCCAGTGAAAGGGTCAGGCTTGTTGAATGCTCCTTCGTAGCGGAAACTGTTTGTCAAGGTGACGAGTCTTCCGAGCCAGTAACCGTATGGCTTCGCGATTTTGACCTTTTTTAAATGAAATTTCCGTGTCAGCTTGTGAATGGAGGTTATAGGAAGATACCAGTGAAGGTGGTTGTACTTACTACTTTGATATCAATGGTGTCACTGGAAGCTGGGGTTTCGATGGAGGCGCTACGCTGAGAAACACGCCCGAACTTATCAACAGACAAGGTGTCTGCATGAGGATCCTCGCAGTAACACTGGGCTCCTTCACGAATTGGGTACATTGGAGGCTCAGGCTCGAAGTCTGACTTTTGGTGAATGGCCCCCATAGTCTTGCTCTTAGGGAGCTGGCGTGGACGAACAAGATTAGGCTTGCGGCTGAATGCTTCAACTGACCCCTTTTCGCACTCATCGATGGTTCTCTGCATTTCCTGTGGCAATTGCGTGGTATTCTCGTTGTATCCTTCATCATCAGCAAGTGCATAGAGTGAACGGCCGGCCGCCTTTTGGGCTGCGATACTCTCCGGCCATGGGAAGTAGCGTGCAGCAGACTTGGGGAGCAGAAGACTAGGCTTGTAAGTTGCCTTGACTGTGGCCTGAGACGAGGTATCAGAATCGGGTGAAGGATTCAAAGGGGTCTCGTTGCCCTTGGTCTCTTTTCCTTTCACATTAGCAGCTCCACGCAAGGCCTTCAAGTCCTGATACCCAATGAAAGGCTTTACGCCTGGCTGAGAAGGTGCACAATTTTCCTTCTTATCATCGTCTGACAATGGCCAGCGCAGAGTAGTATTAGCCGCAGGCTGGACTGGCTTTGGAATGTTGGAAGTCGTTCCACGAGCCAAGTACTTTGGTAGCGGAGGTAAAGGGGGCTCAGGAGACTTCACTCCAGCAGGCTGGAATCCAAAGGACTGTTTCGGGTTAAGAGTGCCCTGGGAACGGACCGGAAGTGAGCTACTCCTAGTACCTGCTCGGGATGCTGCCGCGCCAGCAACGATGGACTTCACATCACCTTCTGCTTCGTCTGGCTGACGACGGATCAGTGGCTGGAACGCAGCTCGAGCAAAGTGATGGAAGGAGTTCGTTAGGGATGATTTCCTGCCAGACTTTCCCGCGTCCTTATCTCCCTGAAGCAGAGGACGCGATGAAGCAGGGGACGGGGTCTCCCGCATATATCGAGCACGAGGCATCTTGTCCCTTATCTTGGTTGCTTTGTCTAGAGGGATAAAGGCCCCTTCAAGGCCTGGTATGTTCAAGTCAACAAAACAGAAGTACTGCAGAGGTAGGACTGTGAAGAAGAAGGTTGTTATTAGTGAGAGGAAGGTGGAAGAAAGAAAGAAGAGAAGTTTTTTATATCAGTTCCTAATTAGGACAGAAAGGGAAAGGCAGGACGCTGTATTGTGGCACGACATAAGCATGCAGGACGCAGAAGAGCGGATGGTATTGTATATCAAAAAAAGTAGGGCTAGCTGGCTATCTAGTTTGGCCATAGCTAGTCATAGCTATTGTCACTATGAAGGAAATATCCATCGTTTTTGCCTATCAGACCAGTTTAGCCCTTCTGGAAGTGCATTTAACATTGCCTCCCTTTGATCTATTCACTGCATGTCATGATTGTTCCTTCAGCCACTTTCACCGCGCTCCCCCGGAGATAGACAGTCTCAATCTCCTTCTTGCTGTCCTTAAGGGTAACTTGGAGCCCTATCTCGCTTCTCTTTCCCATCTCAACACCTTGGATAATGGTGTAGGTTCCCTTGCCCTTTGCAAGGATCTCGGGATCTGTCAGGGTGAGATAGGAGGCTAGTCCACTCGCAGCACTGCCGGTAGCGGCATCCTCCAGATTTCCTGCCATCATCCTGGATCGAATGACTTTCTTCTGGAGCTCCTCATCCCAGACATCCCGAACGTAGAAATAGACCGAAACATGGCCCTCGACATCCCAGCCCTCATCCAAATAACCGCCGGCTGCTACTCCCTTGGCTGGGATTGACTCCGTCGCCGTTGTGACCTGAGCCAGGACTTCGAGGCTGGGGAGGTGGACGTGTACTGCTGTCATCCCCTTGACGACAGACACGACGGGGAACCCGGCTTGGTACGCTTGAGCGTCCAGCGAAGATCCCAGGCTTGGATGGAGCCTCAGGAGTTCTGACAGTGCCATTCTGGTAGAATGAATACGCACATTGTGTGGGATGGAAGCAGACACTTGGCTTGGATTCTCTGGCACCAGAGAAATTGGTATATTTCCAGCCTTAGTCGTGAGTGAGGTTGATTCGCCCACTTGTCCGCTAGAAGCTTTATCCTTTGAGTGAACGAGCAGCCACGATGCAGCGCCGATTGTGGGATGACCGGCAAATGGAAGCTCCTGTTCGGTTGTGAAGATGTCTATTTTCCGAGACTGGCCAGGGT